CAGCAGTGAAAGGGAGGAAGATCCTTTCCAACAAGTGGGTCGACCGCGTAAAAACGGATGCACCCAGAAATATAGAGTTCTACAAGGCACGATGGGTCATACAAGGCTACGATCAATGCCACGGCGTTGACTTCAACCTCACCTTTGCGCCCATAAGTCACCACACCTATGTGTGCATTCTACTCTTCATCACCCCATGCCGGCACCTCAACCTCCGACAGATCGACGTCAAGAATGCGTTTCTATACACAAAATTTGATGCTCGGATCTTCGTCGAGCAACCCCACACATACGACGACGGAGACCCACGCGTCTGCCAACAGCAAAAAACCCTGTTGAGCATCAAGCAGGCCCCACGCCTCTGGCAGCAGCAACTCCACTGGATTCTACTGGAGATCGGATTCCTCCAGCTCCCTCACGATCCTGCGGGAACTACATCCTCCTCACCGTCTACGTCGATGACCTGCTCTACACTGGCACAAACCCCGACCTCCTCGACCAGTTCGAGCGAAGCATGGGAGAGTGCGTCGACATCACCACCTCCAAGACTGAAACCCAATTTCTCAGCCTCAACATCTCCTACATGCCAGCAACCATCCACCTCTTCGCATCGAAATACTGTATGCCGAGATCCTCGCAAAAAAAAACCCACCTAACGTCCGTAAAGCTCTCCACAATCTATCACATACCTGCCACCAGCTACAAGCCCGACACCAAGGCGCTTGCCCCTGCTGCGCATCAGCTCTACCAGCACCAGCCCGGATGTCTGTGTGCCGACCTGACCTATCCTACATCGCCAGCCAGCTCGCCTAATACTCTCAGCGACCTGAAGGGGAGAACCTCATAGATCTACAGTGAGCTCGCCTATACTTCATTTCGACTCCCCACATCGACCTCACCTACTCCACGATCACCACACCCACATTCCAACTCACTAACTACGTCGACGCAGACCACGCCGCAAACCCCGCTAACCGCCGCTCTCGCACATGTTTCCTTTTCCTACTGGACCCATCTCTTGGAACTCAGAAGCAGGAGTTGCTTACTCTCTTTTTGGATGAAGCAGAGTACATCGCAGCAACCTCCGCCATTCGGGAAGGTCTCTACCTCCAAGAACTACTGCAGGAGGCGAAGCTCAGCACTTCGTAAACATTTAAGTTACAGTGCGACAACAAGAGTGCAATCAAGATTGCCAACAAGCCCGGCTTTGTCAATCGCACAAAGCACATTGCCGTGCGATAAATCTTCGTCAAGGACGAAATCGACGAAGGGAACGTGGACCTAGCATACTGCCCTCTAGTGACATGGCCCATCAATATTACCTGCACTACGCTGAGCTCTGCGGAATCTCCAAGCGCGCCAAGCTCGAGCACCTTCGGCAATGAAGGGGAGTGTTACGATAAGGAATCTCTTGCGTTCGTAAATGTGACACTCGAGCTGTAACCCTTGTCGAGCCCAAGCTTACGATGCGAAGCACGAAGTGCAGCGGTCGTTGACTGTTGACCGACAGTCGAACAGACCGAAGTCCAAGGGTCCGTCACGACATCAAGGACACATAACTGAACCTGTAATACAACATGGGCGGTTACCCGAGTCATGTACAGTTATCCGAGTAGGTTCTAGAACTTCAAAGGGAATGTACCTTTGTCAAGTGCATCCTTAGTCCCTTCGCATTCTCTTGTATCGCTATATGAACCCTGTATCCCTTTGCTATAATCAACAGTGTTAAGTTACATTTACTCTGACAGAGTTCATCGACCAATCAATCGCTCTTGCAAAGCTCACTACTTCAGTTAAATCCTGAAGATCATATGGACTATATTGGATCGCTTCATCATATTGAAGTAAAGCCTTCAATCAACACCTTGGCGACATCTCCCACCCTAACTCGTCCTGGTTTTTCCTCGTCGTTTATCACCATAGAGGCAACCCGCGTGCCAAGTAGTTCAATTGTAGTAAGTTTGGTTGGGTAGAACAGCAGGATTGGCTGTCAAGTAGGCCTCTTGAGGAACTACCAACCAAAGGTAGGAATCTGGAGGCAACTTTGTGACATTTGGCACGCGGGTTTTAAACGGGCACATGCGGCACATGCTATGTAACCACCAGGCCCTCAGATTTCATGATAAAACACCTTGAAAGCCTCATTTTAGGGTGTGATATGTAAACCGACCCTGAGATTTCAGGTTATGCATCATAGTTTGGCCTGTCAAATCAGGTAGCTCATTCTGTAAGGCCCTGTACTTCTAGAGTGTTCTGGTCCACGAAGCCCTGAGACCTGAGGGTGTTATCGGGTATAGCCCTGATTTAGCCCCCCTGTACACATAAGGGCCTACTTTTGGATTTTTACTACTCTGAAATCAGGGAGTGGCTTTTTTCATTACTCAGGAACTCAGAGTGCTCCCCAATGGTTTCTCTGATTTCCCATGGTTTTTTTAGTTAAAAAAAATACACTGACAATGCGGAGGGTTTTTTCAAGTAACCCTTTGCAGCAGGGTCGTTTGTATGCGCGGGGCAGGATCGGGAGATGGGGGGGAAATGAAGGGGAAGGATTGAGAGATTGCAGGGGCGGAGGGAATCGAGCTGGCAGGGGAGGTCAACACAGCAGGGACGGGGAAGGGTAATCTTGCACTCCCCTCCCCCTGCGAGCACGTGTTGGCCCTAAATTTGGTGAAGGGCCCAAGACGCCCTCACACAACCAACAATGCATTTCACTTGAGCCATAGATTTGGTGAAGGGCCACTCAACACCCTCACAAGCCTTCGAGCACAAATGGCGCGGTGATTATGGTGAAGGGACTATTAGCCCCCTCACACAGCCTCGAGCACCGGCCACGCGATGATTTCGCTGGTGCGCGTGACATGACCTGTTCTGCGGGACACGGGGCAATGGCTAGGTACAGTGGGCTGAGACAATTTCACATGTATCCTCCCTATACACTGACCATCAGAGTGGTACGAAAGGTGTTAAATTATATATTTTGTTATATAATTGGTAGGCTTGGTAGGTTTATCGAACTCTACTGTAGAGGGTACAACTCCCTCCTTGTATGCCCCTCTCTTCCTAGTCTCCCTCTCTTTCCTCTCCTTAACTTTCTCTCCTAGCTCCAAAACCCTCACGCCATTCCATGGCTTCCTACCATTCCTACTAGCCTAGCTTTCTTAACATGGTTTCAAAGCAGGCCCCTTTCATTCGGGCCTTCTCCTCACGCTTCCACAGCGTACTCCCCCCCCCCCGTCACGCCGCGCTGGCCCCGTCATGCCGCGCTGGCCCCGTCACGCCGCGCCGGCCCCGTCACTCCGTGCCGGCCCCGTCATGTCGCGCTGTCCCCGTCGATCCGCGCTGGCTCCGTCATGCCGCGCTGGCCTCGTCACGCCGTGCTGGCCCCGTCACGCCACGCTGGCCCCGTCACTTCGCGCCGCGCCTCAGTAACTCAGTGCCGCCGTGTCGCCGTCCCGCCATGCCGCCGTGCCACGGTGCCGCCGCGCCGCCGCGCCGCTGTGCCGCTGGGTCACCGTGCCGCAGCGCCGCCGTGCCGCTGGGTCGCCGTGCCGCTGTGCCGTCGTGCTGCCATGGCGGCTTCGCCACGCTAGCGCACTGATAGCTGCGGCCAGCACCCTGTCCTAGGCGCCAGTCGTAACGCCTCCACGCCAGTAAGCGTCGCGCCAGCCATGGTGCCTCGCTGAAGATTCGCCCTCACACGCCAGTAAGCGTCGCGACAGCCATGGTGCCTCGCTGAAGATTCGCCCTCTCCCGCCAGTAAGCGCCACGTCACCCATGGCGCGTCGCTGAAGATTCGCCCCCCTCCCCCCCCCCGTCCCCCCCTTCCCCTGCGTCTCCTCTTCCTCCTGCCGCAGCTGCTGTCTTCTACCCGGTCGTCGCCTCGCCGTGCCACACCGCCGAGAGCCTTCAGCCATGGCCGTTGCCCGGGTTGCCTCTCGCTGGGGGATGTCACCATGCCAAGCCCGAGGAGTAGATACCCGGCTGATCTCGAGCATGGGGGTGTAAGGGGTTAGGGGGTGTGTGTGTTGGGTGGGTTGTGACTACCAAGCCTAGGGTGTGTGCTAAGTTATATATTTTGTTATATAATTGGTAGGCTTGGTAGGTTTATCGAACTCTATTGTAGAGGGTACAACTCCCTCCTTGTATGCCTCTCTCTTCCTAGTCTCCCTCTCTTTTCTCTCCTTAACTTTCTCTCCTAGCTCCAAAACCATCACGCCATTCCATGGCTTCCTACCGTTCCTACTAGCCTAGCTTTCTTAACGAAACGTTACTCGGATAAAATCAGAGTAAAAAGTAAATTCTTTTTTTTCTCAGGGCCCCTAGAGTAGTTTTCAAAAACGACTCTGATTTTCAGAGAAACCGAGTAAATTACTCTGATAAAATAGGCCTTGACGCATATTCCTCAAAGCACTGGGCTTTGTTTGCAGCACGAGATAGTTTTGACCATACACGCCAACACTTCCACACCTGCACACCGCAACATCTGTTAGGGATTTCAGCAAAGCCCACATATCGCATGCTGCAAGGCACGCTGTATCTCTGGCATGCAAGGCAAGCCATTCACAGCCTTGAGAGTTCAGGGGTCTTGTGATTGGAAGCCCTGTGAAAACGGGTGTTCATGAAGTACAAATCCTGACAGGTGCACGCTTTTCAGAGGGTGTGCCCTGGGGGTTCAGGGTGCCCAAATATGAATCTGAGGCCCTGGTAACCACCCAACTCCCTGTGTGAATCTCGTTTTTCACCAAAATTTGTGGGGTACTGTTACATGTTTGAATTTTGTTATGAAATAGGAACTGTCAATGTACTATAATGTGAGAATACAACGTCGCTATTGCAATGAGGGCACGAGGTTATATAGGAGTTGGCATACTAGAGTGATAACCTCGGAACGTGGGTAGGTTCCGCAATGGGGCGAAAGTGCCGGACGCGACTCGGGAAAGGGTTGGGCCGATAATTGAGGCCGAACGTGACGAGTCGAGGAATTCAGGTGTACGCGCTAGCGTACGACTCAGTAAGGAATGGAAATTCCTTACACTACCCCCCCCCCCTCCTAAACGAGACCGCGGGCATCGGAAACATTCCGACGCTGATAATACATCGCTAGAATCGGATGTGATTCTACTTCAGCGAGCGGCACCCAGCTGTCGTCTTCGGACGTGCGATCGCGCCAGCGGACAAGAAAATCAACCATCCGACGGTTCAGCTGCGTCGTGACTCGATGGCCGAGAATTTTCAAAGGCTCGGTCGTTGGTTCCTGCAGAGGTGTTAGCTGCGGGGCGCTGCGTTGGTGTGCCGATTCGGACGAACTGGGAACGTAGGGCCGTAACAGGCTGACGTGGAAAGCCGGGTGGTGACGCCAGTCAGCTGGAAATCGGAGGTGAGCAATGACAGGTGTCACCATATTCGTCACTTGAAAAGGTCCGCAGAATCTTGGGCGGAGTTTGCTCGGGATCGGTAGCCTCAAATTAGGAGTGTCGAGGAGGACGAGATCTCCCGCTTTGTAAGTGACGTCACGTCGATGGCGATCGGCTTGTCGGCTTGCGACCAGGTTGGCTTTCCGGATGGCTTCAGCTGCTTTTTCTCGGGCGGCGAGAATGTCTTCAACAAATTTCTGGGACCGGGGCACTGGTGTCTCGATGTTCGGGGTAGAGGGTACCACTGGGTCCTGTCTGTAATTTAGGAAAAGCGGGGACTGGTGCGTTGTCGCGGAGGGCGCGTTGTTATACGCGAATTCCAGCAGCGGAAGGGATTTCTCCCATGTCTGTGGGCCAGTACAGGTAGTCCGAATGAGTTGCTCCATGGTTTGGTTGACTCGTTCAGTCTGCCTGTCGGTCTGTGGGTGGTAGGCAGAGGAAAACTGTAGTTTGGTGCCGAACTGGTCCCACAGGTGGCGCCTGAAATTCGATGTGAATTTCGGTCTAAAATAATTGCGGTGGGCAGTCCGTGCAGTCGAATGACGTTGGCGATGAACAGTTGGGCAGTTTGCTCGGCTGTAATTGTCTATTGGCAGGCAATGAAGTGCACCATTTTCGTGAGTCAATCGACGACCACGAGGATGGCGTCGTTTTCGCTGGGACCGGCTGTCAATCCCGTTACGTAGTCCATCGTAATATGTTGCCAGGGTCGCTCGGGCGGATCCAACGGCTGTAGGAGTCCGGCTGCTCGCTGATGGGAGGACTTCATTATTTGGCAAGCGGTGCAGGAGGACACGTACTTGCGCACGTCGTCGGCCATGTTCGGCCAATAATAATTACGCTGCAACGTCTTCAGAGTTTTGTCGGCGCCGAAATGCCCGGAGGTCGGGTTGTCGTGGGATTCCTGTATTAGTAGGGTACGAAGTAAATCGTAGCCAGGTACCTAGATGCGAGAAGTATCGAGCTTATTGAAATAGTGTCCGGTGGCTGTGGTATGCTGTTGATGAATAGCAGAGCGGAAGAACGGGTCGATTTTGTATCCGTGGGTAAATAGTCCGATAAGTAATGGGTTGGTCTGGGCGACTAGTATGGCGGCTGTATGGGCAGTGGGTCGGGTTAGGGCATCGGCGATATTGTTGGCACCCCGTTTGTAGGTGATGGTATAATGGAAATTCGACTCAAGGAAATCGAGCCATCGGATCTGTCGCAGGTTGAGATTTGGTTGGGCTCGCAGGACTGTAAGGATTTGTGGTCAGTTCACACCGTGACGTCAGTGCCTGTCAGGTAACACCGCCAGGTTTTGAACGCGTGGACGATCGCCAACATTTCCTTGTCGTGGACTATGTATTTTTTCTCCGCGCCCTGCAGCTTCCGTGATTCGTAGGCGACTGGCTGTAACCCGTCGCCGAAATCCTGTAGGAGAACTGCGCCGATGGCGATGTTGCTGGCGTCGGTGATGACTTCATATGGACGGTCAGGATCGGAGATGCGAAGAATGGGCGGCGACATGAGGGCGATCTTCAGTTGGTCAGCTTGCTGCTTCTCTCCCCACAAAAAACAATCGTGATCCTTCAGTCAGTCGGTTAGCGGGGCAGATAACCCAACCATATTGGGTATAAAGCGGCGAACGTAGTTGACAAAACCCAAAAAGCTCTGCAATTCCTTGAGGTTGGTCGGCGGCTTCCACTCCTGTATTGTCTTGATTTTCTTGGGGTCGATTTTCACTCCTTCGGTAGAGACGACGTGTCCCAAAAACTCCAACTCTTGCTTAAGAAAGTCGCACTTAGACCCCTTTCGTGATGAGGCGGTTCTTGTGCAGCAGCGTGAAGACTGCATCAAGATCCTTTAAGTGTTGCTCCCTGCTGCGGCTGTAGATTAGGATGTCGTCGAGGTAGATAATGACGCATTTATCCAAGAGTTCCCTGAAAACGTCGTTCATGGTTATCTGGAATGTCAAGGGCGCGTTCGTGAGGCCAAAAGGCATCACCAGGTATTCGTACCTGCCGTAGCGGGTTCGGAAGGCAGTTTTGAGACAATCGTCGGCGGCAACGCGAATTTGATGGTAACCTCTTCGCAAATCAATTTTCAAGAAGAACTTGGCTCCGCGAAGTTGGTCGAGTAGATCGTCGGCTCGCGGCATCGGGTAACGCGACTTGATTGTGATCCTGTTGAGGGCGCGGTAATCGATGCACATGCGGAATCCTGCATCCTTCTTCGGGGTGAATAGAATCGGGGCAGCGTATGGGGAGGTGCTAGGCCGGATAAAACCTTTCGTCAGAAGGTAATCCAACTGCTGCTGCAATTCTTCCAGTTCCGGTTGGCTGAGCCGAAATTGTCGCTGTACGGTCGGATGGCCCCTTGTTCCAGCTCGATGCGGTAGTCTTCAGGTCTCCTCGGTGGAAGTCCCGCGGGTAGGTCGTCCGGGAAAATCTCAGGGTACTTCCGAATCAGGTCCGCTAAATCCGGAGGAACGGCATCGCACAGCTTCGCGATATCTTCGGCTATTGTCGGGGACGTCACTTCACGAAGATCGACGGCGTACGCTGCAGCTCCCGCTTTTATTGCACGCTTGAAAGTTATCGCATGGACTTGGGTGCTTCGCATGCGAGGCCCCGTCCATTTCGGGAGTGTGCGATGAATCCCGTCGAGTTTGATGCTGCAGCTGCCCGTTGTCCAGTCAATCTTTGGGTTGTATTGTCGCAGCCAATCTCGTCCCAGTAGTACGTCGCATCCGTCGAGTGTAGTCGCCAGCAGCCCCATCCAAAATTTTACGTGTTCCCCGCAATGGAAACCGACGTTCTCCACTCGTTCCTGTATAGCCAGCGGTGTTCCATCTACTAGATGGGCGTCAATTTCTGGTAGACACTTAAGTAGGGGAATACCCAATTCTTTAGCCCTGTCCAGCTGTATGAGACTGTGACTCGCGCCTCCATCCACGAATATTTTCAGCAACACCCCGTTGACTTTACCCTCCACCAACACAGGGTGATCAACAGTTTCGCCCCCCTTATTCGTCCGGGTCCGGTCGATTGCAGCAATCGGGATCACGACCCGGTGGGGACTGTGTGGCTCGGGCGATGAAGTCTGCCCGTCAGTAAGGGGCCCGGTACTTACTGACGCGACCCATTTCCCGGTCACTCCTCCGGCTTCTTCCCCATAGAATTCTGAGTGGCTATGATTTCGGGGCAGTTGCGTCAAATGTGACCTGGTCGGCCACAGTGGTAGCATAGCCCCGTATTTCGCGGAGCAACTACGTAAAAATCCACTTCGTCCATCCCTTTTATCGTGGCGCGCTGGTACTGTTCTCGAGGGCGACCTCCGTCGTAGAAGTTCGTCCTCGGCTTCGTGAGCGAATCGGCAACTTCGGCGAGTTGGATAAAATCTTGTAACCGCTTCGCAGATCGTTGCAGTTTTATCTGGTACTGTATTTCGGGCTTCAGTCTGCCCATGTACCTGTCAACCTTCTCCAACTCGTGCATGTAGCCACATCGATCCACCAATGTCAAGAATGACGCGGTGTATTCGGACACAGATCCCAACTGCTTCCACATGCGTAGAGTCTCGCGCGCTTTGTCTGAGTCAGGGGCGTGCTCAAACCGCTTGCGAAGTTCTGTGCACTACGTTGCCCACGTGCGAATGTGGGTTGCACCAAACAGCAAATCTGCCTCGTCTTTGTCGCCAAATTCTTCGGACCACTCGTACTGTCCTTCTGTGCGAGTTGCTGCTGAGTCGACGATGACCTTCCACCACTGTAGGACGGCCCCTTGCAACAATGTCAATGCATGGCTGATCCGCTTCTGATCGTCTCGGATGCCCGCCGCATTGAAATAGATATTCATGGCAAATATCCACTGCAGCACCGTAACACCTTTATTAGCCGGATCGAAAGGAGCAGGTTGCTGATATCTCATGCCACCACTTGTCGAGCGCGGGGCTGTTGCCGCTAGTCATACCAGCTCCACTGGCGTCGGTTGCTGCTCACCCGCCTCGCTTTGTGCATTGTCGCCCGGCTCCTCTGAACGCCTTTCCTGCGCCTGGCGAAGTCGTTGGTTTTCGTCGCGGAGGTTATTGACGACGCTTGTCGAATTGTTTAACTGCTCCATTAATGCTTGCAGGTCCACTGTTTCCCGGGCAGAGTTCGCAGCAGTTGAGGTCGTCTGCTCCCGCGTGACCGTCATCGCCCCAGTAATGTACTGCAGTTTCTTGTGAAGTTCCTTTTTTTCCGTCTGGAAGCTCAGATGATGCTGGACAATTCGTCTGAGAATCCATACCAGCCCAGGTAGCTCGTCTGATGGTCAGACGAAATTTTGAAACCTCGTCTGATTCTCAGACAGCCCTAAAACTTAGCAGGAACCCTGCGTACGGCACAGTAAGGAATGGAAATTCCTTACAAATTTTACCTGGTTGCAAGCAAAGCCCTTCAGACTGTCAACTTATACATATGTTCTATGTAGAAGTTATAGGCTAGACTAGGTGTGTGCTTCTAATGAGTACAACCCAACAGGTATATGTTCTAGGTTTCTCCTTCTAGTAATCATTCACGTATTCTAACATGGTATCGAGTAGGTTAGGTCCCCCCGCCCGCTTCCGCCCGCGCCCTAGTCTCTCGCCCGCCCTTAGCCGGCCCCCTGGCCATCGCGTCCGCCCCTAGTCGGCCCCCTGGCCGTCGCGTCCGCCCTTAGCCGGCCCCCTGGCCATCGCGTTCGCCCCTAGCCGGCCCCCTGGCCGTCACGTCCGCCCCTAGTCGGCCCCCTGGCCGACGCGTTCGCCCCTAGCTGGCCCCCTGGCCGTCGCGTCCGCCCCTAGCCGGCCCCCTGGCCGTCGCGTTCATCCCTAGTCGGCCCCTTGACCGTCATGTTCGCCCCTAGTCGGCCCCTTGGCCGTCGCGTCCGCCCCTAGCCGCACCCTTGGCCGTCGCGTTCGCCCCTAGCTGGCCCCCTGGCCGTCGCGTCCGCCCCTAGTCGGCCCCCTGGCCGTCGCGTCCGCCCTCAGCTGGCCCCCTGGCCGTCGCGTCCGCCCCTAGTCGGCCCCCTGGCCGTCGCGTCCGCCCCTAGCTGGCCCCCTGGCCGTCGCGTCCGCCCTCAGCTGGCCCCCTGGCCGTTCGCGCCTGATCCTAGCCGGCCCCCTGGCCATCGCGCCCTCCCCTAGCTGGCCCCACTGGTCGTCGCGCCCGCTCCTAGCCGGCCCTCTGGCCGTTCGCGCCCGCCCCTAGCTGGCCCCACTAGGCGTCGCGCCCGCTCCTGGCCGGCCCACTGACCGTCGAGCCCGCTCCTAGCCGGCCCCAGCAGCACCTGCCCGGCCTCTTCCTAGCACAGCCTGGCCTCTCCTACCGCCCGCCAGTCCCAGTGCGCTTGCCCGGCCCCTACTAGCGCCAGCCCGGACCTGTCACGCCTGCCCGGTTTTCAGCGCCAGCCCGGCCCCTCCTCCTGCCCGCCTGGCCCCTCCTCATGCCTGCTTGGCCTGCCGTGCCACCTCGGGCCCCGTGTCCTCTGCTAGCCCGCGCCGGGGCGCCCCGCAGCCGCCCTACTGGAGAGTGCTGCCGCCGTGTCCCCGTGCCGCTGTGCTCCTGCCGAGCTGTGGAGCTGTGCCGCTGTGTCACTGAGGAGCTGTGTCACTGACCCTGCACGATGGCTGACTTCTTGCTCCGCCTGGACGCTGAGGGCCACGCGGTTGACTTCGTCGCCTGGCTCTCCAATCTCCGCCGTCAGCTTACAGGTCAGCGCCAGGATGGACACTCGCTGGTTGTCCATGCTGATGGCTTGCTCCCCCGCCCCCTGCACCTGCTCCCCTCCCTGCTGACCCCACCTCCGCTGAGAGTGAGGCTTTCTCTACTGCTGCGCTTGCCTGTGCGGACTGGGACTCACGCGATGCAGTAGCTCATGTTGCTATCAGTCACGCCCTCCCTGTGTCTGAGCGCTCACGTTTCGCTACAGTTGATGTGGCCAAAGCTTATTTAGACGCTATTATTGCTCGCTATTCCACACCTGCATCCGCTTCTGCCGGCCGCCAGCTCTTCCCGATGCTGTTCCCAGACCTTGCTGCCTTCCCTACTGTCGCAGACTTTGCAACTCACTTGCATGCCCTAGAGACTCGCTATCGCAGTGCTAGCACTGCTGCCCAACTCACTACGCTCCCCCCCCCCCCATTTTGCATGACCCTCTATTTTATCGTCATGCGCCTGCCGGACCACCTAGCTAGTGCCCGCAACCGCTTCCTTAGCCAGCACCCGGGTGACCTCACACTGACCGTCTTTGTCGACACCCTCACCGAGATCGAGACGCGCCAGTGCACTATCGCTCAGTCGAGCGGTGCGCTGGCAGTCTCCATCTTTCACGGCTGTGCCCCCTCCCAGTGCACGTTTACTGACGTTTTGGCTGTGGTCGCCACTGCGACCCCTCTTACCGAGACGGCAGATGCGGTCCACCCGCAGCAGCATCCGCGCCGCGGTGGCCGTGGCCGCCAGGGAGGTCGTGGTGGTGGCACTAGTGGTGGTGGTAGTGGTGGTTGTGACGGTAGTCCACCTGAGGGGACTACCACCGGTGGGCAGGAGCAGACGCAGTCGCCTTCGCAGCCAGAGCAGCCCCAGCAGCAGCCGCCGCCGTCCCAGCAGCAGCCGTCGCAGCCGTGGGCTCGTCTCCCACCTGGTTGGCCCGGCACCTCCGGCGGTGGTGGCCGAGGTGGTGGCCCGCGCAGCTTGGCGTCTACCGGCAGCTCCAGTGCTGTGACCTGCCAGTACCAGCTTCAGACTGGGCCTCTCCGCGGCACTCTGTGCCGCCGCCCGCACCCGACCGGCCGTTGTTTCCGCCGCCTCGACGATCTCTTTCGTCGTCGCTTTGGCCCGGCCCCGGACCTCCCCGACTGGCACAGCCTGCTTCTCCAGAGCGTGCCGATCTTTGAGTTAGATATGGATCAGATAGGTGCTGCTTTTTCATACTTTGTATGCTGACGCTTCTAGTGTTGCTGGATCTGATTACCCAGTGTACTCTAGTTTAGGTGTCTCACCCTTGTGTAGCTTAGCCTCCCCTGCTGTGTCAGGCGTAGGACTGCCTAGTTTGCCTAGCCTAGGTTCTGCACAGGCTCCGTTCCCAGCCTCCGCCACTGCCTCGCTGTCCTTCACTCTCGACTCCGGTGCTTCTGCCTGTTTCTTCCGCGACCGCTCCACGCTTACGCCACTTGCTACGCCTGCTGTTGTCTCTCTCGCTGACCCCTCTGTGGGTCCTGTCGTTGCTCGCAGTTCCACGTCCCTTCCCTGTCCAGCAGTTCCCTCGGGCTCTCTTACAGGCCTCCACGTTCCCTCATTCTCGAGGAACCTGGTTGGTGTCGGCTGTCTTCAGGACCTCGGCGTCACCACTACGTTCCCCGGGCATGAGCGGTTCGCTATCTGTTCTGAGGCTGTCTCAGGTTTCCCACTTGCTACGTTCCCCCGGGACCCGGTGTCCGGTCTGTTCACCCTAGACACCGCTTCCCCCCCGGTTGGTGCGTCCTCCCAGGTCGCTGCAACTTGCTCGTGTCAGTCTCTCACTCACCCGTCCTTTTTGTGGCACCACGGCCTAGGTCACCCTTCACTCCCGCGTCTGCATCACATGTCCCAGCACGGTCTTGTCTTAGGCCTCCCCGCGTCGCCCCTTGCCCTTCCCCTCTCGCCTGCTCCACCGTGCACGCCCTGCGTCGAGGGTTGGCTCCGTCGTGCCCCTCACTCCTCCTCGCTTTGCCCTGCTCCTGCTCCCCTTCAGACCCTGCACCTGGACGTTTGGGGCCCAACCCCCGTCCCCGGACCGCGTGGCGAGCGTTACTTTCTTGTGCTCGTCGACGACTACACGCACTACACCACGGTGTTTCCCCTGGAGCGGATGGCAGATGTGCCCGACGTTCTTCTCCCGTGGGTTGTGGCTGCGCGTCTTCACCACGGTCTCCCCGTGTTGTGTCTCCACTCTGACCGTGGCGGCGAGTTCGCCTCTGGTCGGCTTGGACAGTTCTGTCGTGCGGAGGGCATCACCCAGTCATACACCTTGCCGGACTCGCCACAGCAGAATGGGGTTGCTGAGCGCCGCATCGGCTTGGTCATGGAGGTGGCTCGTACCTCCATGATCCATGCCGGTGCACCCCATTTTCTGTGGCCGTTCGCCGTTCGCTACGCTGCTCACCAGCTTAACCTGTGGCCACACTCCCAGCGGCCGCAGGTTTCGCCGAACCTCCTTTGGACCGGGTCCCCCGGTGACTCGTCTGCGTTCCACGTCTGGGGCTGCCTTGCTCACGTTCGTGCCTCTGGCACGGACAAGCTCACTACCCGCACTGTCCCCTGTGTCTTCCTTGGTTTCCCTCTAGACTCGTCTGACTGGCTCTTCTACCACCCGCAGTCTCACCGCTTCCTCCACTCTCGTGACGTCACCTTTGACGAGTCCGTCTCCTTCTACCGTCGCTTCCCTCACCGAGGTCTCCCAGTTTCCCCCCCCCTGTTCCTTGCCCCCTCTCCCCCGGTAG